TATAATGTTTAAACAATGAGGGAAATATGCATTCGATATGCATGTGTTAAGAAAAGAAAAGAAGAACATTTCAACATTCTGGTTCGTTATATCCATTTATATTCAAATAAAAAAAAGTGTGAAACAACCTATCCTTCCCCCATCTATGGGTTAAATAGTAGGATGTGTATCAGCAAATTACTATAATCTGTAACAAATTCTTAAAATCAAAAGATATTTTCTGGATTTAAAAGACCCGCAAAAGGTTGATAATCTGTATTAACAAATCGATCAATAGATTAAATAAAATCTTCTTTTCCTAGTTATTTATAAAATAATAAATATTGCGCTGTAGGTTTACATGTCTTGATAATTTTGTTTTTTTTTAAAGATTTTCAAATTTATTTCAAAATAATAAATAAAACTTTTTAAAAGACGAATGAATATTGCCTTGCATTTTCATTCATATATTTTTTCTAATCCCTAAGAAAATTTGACACTGAGGGAGTCAAAACTGTTTACAGTAAATATAATATCAAAGGAATAAAAATCCTTATGACAAACGAAAATAAATGAGTTACATTTTTTAATGTATTTTCCAAAGTTAAAATGTTAAAAACTTTTAAATCATTTTAAATATTAAAATATATTTTAGCTAAAATAAAAATTCAAAAAAAATAGCGAAAATTCACCACCATAACACACACACACACACGCACACACATAACATAAATATATATAGTATATATATATATATATATATATATTTATATATATATATATATTTAGAGAGAGAGATTATTACATTTTACACACAAAAAAATTAAATACCTCAAAAATAATTTATTTATTCAATTTTGATTTTAGTAATTTTTTTTTTACATATTTAAGGGTTTTTAACTGTTACGGAAAGAAAAATTCATTAATTGTTTTTTTAACTAGAAAATACACTGTTTCATGTAATGCCTGATTTCATTACCAACCTATATAAACCTAAAATCAATCATATTTATCTCATTCATAAGAACCCAATCTTTGTCCTTTTATCTATCTATCAATTATCCTTTTTTGATAACATTCTATCTATGTACTAACGCCACAGAAATTTCTATATCCTCAAATTTATATCTGATTGTATCTGAAATTTATTTATTTTTATCCATCTTTATATATATATATATATATATATATAAATATATTAGAAAGAAAATAGAGAGAAATATATAGAGAAAATTATAAAAAAAAATATTTATTAATTATTTATCTCATTTTTTCATATAAATTTGTCAAAATTTAATACCATACATAGATAAAAATAGTATCTATCTATTTTATCTATCTATCTAAAAAATTTTGTCAAATCTATCTGTTATCCTTTTTCAATAAATATTATCTATATCTATCTATCTATATATATAAATATATATATATATATATATATGAAGAAATAAAGTTTTAAGGAATTTAGACAATGGGATAAAGTGCTCAGTATCAAAGATATGCGTTTGTAAATATAAAACCTTAAAAATGATTATTAAGTCAACATAAGACACGAAAAAATTGTTAAATATGCCAAACGCATACGTTCGTTGTTAACATTTATATATATATATCCAATATATATATATATATATATATATATATATTTGTGTGTATGTGTGTAAAATGAAAATTTATATCGAAAAATATATATATATATATATATATATATATATATATATATATATATATATATATATAAGAATTTTAAAGAAGAAGAAATTTTTTGGCATTTCTTTTATAATTTAAATAATTTGATAGTAAAAATAAAAAAAAAAAGACTGGTAAATTGGGAAAAGGAAAGAAATAAAAGAAGAAAAAAAATCAATTCACAAAAAGAAAATGTCGATTGATAAATTTTAATTTTTAAAATGAATTTTGGCTATCAGGGAAGCAAATTAAAGAAAGGGAGTTCCATTGTCGAGAAAGTTTTAGAAGAACTAATGTTGGATTAGAAGTGGTTGTTACCTTTTAACTATTTTGACAGTAACAGGATGAGAAAAATTTATTCCTAGTAAACGCTTAAATTCATTCATTTGGGGTACCAGTGAAAATTCGTCAATTTTAATATTTAAAATATTTATATAAATTATAGATATAAAAGTTTATATCCACGTCGGTGAGAAAGTGAAATAGATGAGTCATTTGCTAGAGCAGGACCTATTATTGCATATCTATCTTTGGATTTTAAAAATAATCTGGAGATGAACAAAAAATCCGTAATTTAACAGTATTCTATGCATGGATGAAAAAGATTTATAGATGTGAAGGATAAACTCAGACGAGAAAAAACCTTCTAAATAAAAACAGAGAAAAATATTTTTTGAAATAGATTATATTTGTTTAAAAATCCTCAGTTCAGTATAATAATATCATTTTAGGGTAAGGCATGTGATAGCATCAACCATGCTGATAAAAAAACAGATTGTTTATCTATATTATATAAATCTACATACAATTTTATATTGGGAAAAATTTAATCTTAAATTTAGCCATATTATCTATAATAAACAACCATTGACATGGAGATTGTATTCCAGATCAAATTATGAGTGAAATTAAAATAAATATTTATCTATTTAAATTACAAAAAAATATATAAAAATAAAAAGTGTCGCCTAAAAAGAAACCTATTTGAGAACTGATATCGTCAGAAAATATTATTATCAGAAAATAAAGTTAGGACCAAGATATATTTAAATTACACTAAATGTTTGTAAAAGAAAAAAAAAAAGAATTTATAGGACATCTGTAAATTATAAATTGGGCGGGGAATTATTGGATTAAATCAAATAATCATGTCAATAAATAATACCGTTTCCCTAAACTATATAAAATATAGCATAATAAAAGATTGTCAAATATATGACATATTTATCTAGATTAAAAGATCGATAAATTTGAAAAAAAAATATCAAATATTGGTATAAAATATTCAGTTATAAATATATTCACTATACTATTTCTAAATACGGATCATATATATTAAAAGAGTATCCCGACGAAGCAATAGGAGCATTATATTAGTGCGAAATATAAAATGTATTTGAAAATTTAAGTATTGTTCAACGGCGTTACTTATAGTTTTGTATCTGCGATTATCAAAGTCCCTACTACAACGAGCATTAAAAAAGTAATGAGTATTTTTGACAAAATTTATATCTAAAAAATTTAAGGAAAACGACTGTTCGTTGACAGAATCAATATATATATATATATATATATATATATATATATATATATATATATATATATATATATATATCTGCTCTCATCTATCTATCTGTCTGTCTATATATTTATATATATATATCTATATATATATATATCTAATATATATCTAACATATCTATCTATTCTATATATCGATCCGGTATTCTTATATATTATATTTTATATAAATATATATATATATATATATATATATATATATATATATTATAAATTAATTGATTTAAAATATGTTTTTTTTCGCTACACAGTTCTAACCATGTTTCAAAAATGGAAGCTAAAAGCTCCGAATTTAATTTTGTAATTAAATTAAAGACATTAGTTTCATTTCATCCTCAAGCGAATTTTGGAGTAACTTTTAAAATTACTGGGTTTTAAAGACACAGCAAAAATCATAATTCACGTTTCCAAGGTTACAGATAAATCTACTTCAACTAGACAAGGGGTGTCTGGGTGTTCATTATTCTTTATTTTGATGTATCAGTTATTAGTTACGATTTGGTAGGGGTAGGGATGTATTTTTCAATGAAATCTGACATCCGTTAAATGCATGTCGTCTGGATTTAAAAAATTTTATTGTTAACGGCAAAAATATTCTTACGGCATTTTATTAATGCTCTGTAAATTTACATTGATTTTATTTAAAAAAAAAAAAATATCTATAAGAACACAGGATTATATATATTAATTTCTTTCTTTTTATTTACATATATATATATATATATATATATATATATATATATATATATATATATATATATATATATATATATATGTCCTGGGTATGACGATAAACTGAATCCAGCAGCAAGGGACGTTTTAAGGAGTGTGAAACCACCTTTTAATTGTTATTGTTCCCAGGTCCACCATGACCCGAGGTAGTAGCACCTGTTAGGGTCTCAGATATGGACAAATAGCTTAGACTAATCTTACCAAAACAAACGCCGACCGCTGGGTTTAAATTTTTTTTTTTTTTTCGCTACACAGTTATATGTTGGGCTAACCTAGAGATTCTCATGAGGGTAGTGGAACCCTGGTGGAAGAGATGCTATCGAAGCCTCTCGGTAGCCAAATTTTGTGCATTAATGCGCATGCACAAAGGCGGACCCAAACAGACCTGGACTTTGGCAGACCGCTGCAACTCTCGGAGAATGCCTCCGTCGTCTCGGATCCTCTCCTTACCACTGAAATTGTTTTTCCGAGAGCCAAATGCGTGTGTCTGGGACTGCGCAATCCCAGAACCACTTTAAACAATTCTGAGTGCGGGATCTGTCTTTCCTCGGCATTTTTTTTTTTTTTCAAAAAGTTCTACGGCGACGGGCGAAGAGGGCTGGCATAGGATGATGCAGGCAGCCCTTAGTTCGAAGCCTGCACATGGGCGGCGTAAGCAAGATGGTCGTTTCGTTCTGCCCCTGGGACTTCACATTGTCTCGTGTTCAACTTGCGCCACCAGGCGGACATTTTTCAAGACGGAGCACCGCCTGCCTCACATAGGGAGGGGGCTTATAAAAGGTGGCCTAAAAGATGCTGGTTCCAACTCAACTGGCCAGGAGGCAGCACCTGGTTAGTCGTCCATTATCCCGGTCGACGAAGAAAATTGAAATGTTTGTTCTTGTTACCTGGAAAATACGAACTCCACTGAACTGTCCCGATCATAGTAGACCACACCGAAGAACTGCGCTGATCGCATCTGAACTCAAGCGCCACAATGTAGATATCGCTGCACTCAGCGAAACAAGATTCACCGATAAATGTTCTCTCTCCATATACATATATCTGGAAAGGTCTTCCCTCCAGAAGTCCATGGTGTTGGACTCGCTGTTCGCTCAACGCTTCTAAGGAACCTCCCTTCTGTTCCACCTGGACACAGCAAAAGACTAATGACCCTCAGAATTCCTCTCTCCAATAATGTCTACGTGACCATGCCTCGACCCTGGATGGTGACGAGGAGATAAAGGATGCCTTCTACGAATCTCTCGGTACATCCCTGGGAGCGGTACCTCGGACAGACAAAAATCATCCTCCTTGGAGATTTTAATGCTCGAGTGGGCCTCAATATGTCAGTCTGGACGGGAGTCATTGGCTCGCAGGGTTTTGGGAAAATGAATGCTAACGGACTCCGTCTTGTAAGCCTTTGTGCCGAGCATCAGCTTGTGATTACCAATACCATTTTTCAACACTCGAACAAGTACAAGTGTTCTGGGATGCATCTGCGCTCTCGGACGTGACACCTGTTGGATTACGTAATCGTCCATCAACACGATCGAAAAGATGTCCTTCAAACTCGCGCCATGCGTCTAACGGACTGCTGGACTGATCATCCTATAATTCGCTCTCGTGTGAATCTCTCGCTTCGACCTCAGGCCCGCAAAACCAAGGCCATCCCTACACTCAATATTGCCTGTCTTGAACAAACATCAAAACGAATCGAACTTCAAGCAAATTTACTCAATGTCTGCCAGTCACGCCCAACACCTCCCACCGAGGTTAGGAAATCGACCATCTATCGGACACCGCCATCCTAGCTATTCTTCAAGCCACTGGAACTACGTTTGGAAAAGCACAGCAAAGGAACCCAGATTGGTTCGATGAATCCGTGGAAGTTATCCAGCCACTTCTGAAGGCAAAGAATCAAGCAGATGACATTCACCTTGCACACACTCTCTCGTACTCATGCCCAAAACTGGCGCCACTTACGAGCAGAGGCATAACGGAAGATTCGGGAAGCTCTAAAACAACTGATGGCTCAGCAAATCTGAAGAAATTCAACGTTTTGCTGACGAAAACAAATTTTACGAGTTTTATTATTCCATTAATCGTATCTTCGATTCTCCTCGCAATATCATAGCACCTGTTCGTTCTGTTCTGCTCAAGGAAAAAGAAGAAATCCTAGCACGATGGTCTGAGCACTTCAAGGAACTTTTGAACAGAAACATACCGATTGATTCTTCAGCATTAGACGAATTTCCGACACTCTCTGAGCTGGACTCAGTTTTGACATCGGATGAATTTAACAGCGCCATAAAAATAGGTGTACAAGTATGGTGGACCGCATCTTGCATCATATCTGCATTCCTTTTTTCACCTGTGCTGGACAAGCAGAATCATCCCTAAGCGCTGGAAACATGCTAATATCATAAGCATTTACAAGAAGAAAATGTTGACTTAATGTGACCGGGAAGATTCTCGCACGTATTATGCTTCGCCGTCTTCTCATCTTTCTGACTGAGCGAATTCTGCCGGAATCTCAATGAAGCTTCAGACCTGAACGTAGTACCGTCGACATGATATTCGTCCTTCGTCTATTACTCGAAAAAAAAAGCAGCGAATAGCAAAGAGAAATTAATTTTGCTTTCGTTGACCTAAATAATGCCTTTCAATCGGGAGGCTCTATGGCTTTTACTTGACAAATTTGGCTGTCCGCCGACCTTCCTGAGTCTTCTACGCCAATTTCACGAGGATATGCTCGCTAAAGTATCCGTCGGGGGAACCTCATCAGAACAGTTCAGTGTGCATATAGGAGCTAAACAGGGCTGTGTTCTTGCCGCCGTGCTCTTTAACGTGATTTAGTTGCTGTGACTCTTCTCTTTCAGTTACATACGGAACCCAACGACGGAATACATATCAGATATCGCTTTGACGGAAATGTCATCAATGCCCGACGTCTCAAAGCTAAGACACTGACCGCTACCATTCCTGTCTATGAACTGCAGTATGCCGACGATGACGCCATAGTTACTCATGAGGCACTCTCACTACAACAGTCCTTGACTTCATTGCATCAGACCTATTCTCGCCTTAGTCTTGATATCAACCCAAACAAAACAGATGGCATTCAAACAGCATTTAAACGACATGATCCAGTAGCTCGGCTGCACATTGACGTTTCGTTGTCCAATGTTGACTCATTTATCTACCTCGGCAGCGTCATATCCGATAATGGACACATTGATAAAGACAGTCTCCGCCTCCGGGTCTTCTCTAATAGCAACCTCCGACTCACCACCAAAATCGGTCTATCAAGCTATTGTTTTATCACTGCTCTACAGCTGTGAATGCTGGACCCTGTATCGCCGACAGATAAAACTGCTTGAGACATTCCACATCCTTTACCTTCAGCGAATCTTCCGCGTTATTGCAGGGATAAAATCCCCACACCGAGGTTCTTCAACGTGCAGAGGAGTCCATCATACAGCAACCACTTCTACGTTGGGTTGGGCATGTTGTGCGGGTGTCGGGCAATCGCCTCCC